AAGACAAGCCTCGCTCTGGACAGCCAAAAAAATTCGAAGACAAAGAATTAGAGGCATTACTCGAAGAAGATCAGAGTCAAACGCAAGAGGAGCTTGCAGAATCATTGGGAGTAACTCAACAAGCCATGCTGTACGATTGAGAGCCATGGGAATGATTCAAAAACAAGGAAATTGGGTGCCTTGAAACCGAGAGACGATTGAAAGACGACTTTTCACTTGCGAGTAGCAAAGGCAACAAAGAAAAGGTTTTTTGCATCGGATTGTGACTGGAGATGAGAAGTGGATATTCTACGACAATCCCAAGAAGAAAAAATACTACGCTAAGCCCGGTCAATCGTTGCCATCGACCTCAACATCAACACCAAAGCCGAACATTCATGGTTCGAAGATCATGCTCTGTATCTGGTGGGACCAAAAGAGTGTTGTTTACTATGAGCTGCTGAAACCTGTGGTGATTCCATTACGGGCGATCGGTATCGGCTACAATTGATTCGTTTGAGCCGTGAATTGCGAGAAAAACGGCCGGAATACGAGTAAAGACATGATAAAGTTTTTTTTTTTTTTCATGACAACGCTCGGCCTCATGTCGCAAAAGCTGTAAAAAAATATTTGGAAACGATCAAATGGGATGTTTTCCCGCACCCGTCGTATTCTCCGGACATTACTCCTTCTGATTACTGGTTGTTCCGAAGGATGCAGCACGATTTGGCAAGTCATCGGTTCGCAGAAATCGAAAATTGACTCCAAAATTGGATCGCCTCCAAAGACGAGTCATTTTTTCGAGAAGGAATTCGAAAATTGCCTGAGAGATGGGAAAAAGTAGTAGCCAGCGATGGACAATACTTTAATTAATCTGTTTATTCATTTTGTTTTGAAATAAATGGATTTTTGAACACAAAAAACGGACCGAACTAATTTGTACTCCCAATAAAAAAAATGAACATAATTAAAAGAAACATACTTTTATTTCCACAATCGTTTACTTTATTACACACACACACACACATCAAAGTTAATAATAAAATTTAAATGATTCAAAACATTTAAACTCTAGATTTTTTTAATTGTGTCGTCGTAGCAAATGAATGGTATGAAAACACATGTGAACAAATTGATACAAAATAATAAAATTCCTCGGAATGGCGCTATTATCACCTTTTATTACGAATACCATAAGCTTCCATCAATGGAAGCAAATGACCGTGTCGAATTTTCTTTCGTTATTGAAAAGGACAGAAAACAATAAAAAACACGAAAATATCAGCAACGAGCTGTTTTCTATTGTCATTTTGGTTCTTTTCTCCCTTTTTCGCTCTCCAGGAGGCTTTTCTTTTCTTTGCGGCAGGAAGTTATTCCATGTACTCTATGTTCCTCAAAGCATCTCTGAAAAGCTTTGGTGAGAGCTTTGGTCAAGAAATCGAATTTACAAACAGCAACGAAACTTTATTGTGTGGTAATCTTTCTCGACATTTAATAAATAATTGCTATAACGGCGAAGTACATGTACAGCACGTAAAATATTTAATGGACGAAACATTATTTAGTGTATGCATAAGAAGTATTGCAAATATTATAAATATATAATAAAAAAAGATACAAAACATATTTATCAACGTACCTTATTTGGTAAATATTTATTTAAAAATTGAACGAAATGAAAACAATTTAATTTTCTCCCCACGGAAAAAAAAGATTTGTTGAAACAATTAAAAATTTCACCGATTCAAATCTACAGCCGCATATGGACAGCCAGTTTACTTGGTTAAATATAAAATTATAAATCTGAATAAAATTAGGGCTTATAGGTAATCGTATTTGTTGATATAGCACAGCAAAAACAAAGGCGGATCCAGAGAATTATTCTGAGGGGGGGGGGAGGAGGTGATATGATGAAATGTAAATATTTACTTATTATTGATGTTATTTTTAATATCTTTTAATTATTTTTATTGTTTTATTATATTTACTATTATTATTATTACTACTATTATTATCATAATAATGAAATATAAATGATACATGTTGGTATTCAGTATTTTATTAGCCACATATATTTATATATATATATATATATATATTCACATGATATGAAATGTAATTTAAAAACAAATTTTGTTATATAATAAATTCTAACTTTCTGTTTGGAGAACTGTGGGGAGGTCGCCTTCTCCGTCTTCCCTTATCTCCGCCATTGAGTAAAAATTTGTTAATACAGCAAAGATAACTTTCTATGAAAATCAATATATAGATTAAAATTTTGAACAAAACTGACTAAAGGTATGATCCATTTAACGTTGCAAATACTTGGTTGATCAATCAGAAGAAAAAATTTTACGAATTAACCGATCAAAGAATGCTTCAAAGCATTTGCAGCGTCAAGTGGATCGCATTCTAAGATAGCAACTTTTGCTGCCATAATGAAGAAAACTTGTTACATCAGCAATTCTTATTGTAGCAAAGAATAAGCTAAATTAGCATTCTCATAATTGCTTACTACAGACATAATTTCTTTGTTGAACCATCAAATCTTCTTAATTATAAATGTTGAACTTACTCAGCAAACTATAGCTTTTGCTGAACCTTCTAATCCGTTTTTTCTTCCGTGTCTTTTTTCTATTCTTTTTTTCTGTCTTGCTCTCTCTCTCTCTCTCTCTCTCTCTCTCAATGTGTTTGTGTGTATATACATATGGTATACATGTAGAAATTGAATCGATTACAGTGAGAAAGGAATATCGCGTTGCTCTATTATAGCGTTTTCCTTTCTGCATATTTTGCTTTCACTCGGCCTGTGAAGCGGAATTGCTCAAAGCATTTTTCGACTTTTACCTTCGATAAAGCGCTTCATTCGCTTGTTCGTCACGATTATATATAGATTTGAATGTGAATAAAAATGAGATTTTATAGTATTTTTTTTACTGCATTCAATGTTGAGGCTTATTGAAGAACCAGGCTGAATCCTTTGTTTGTTTATGCATAATAGACAGAAACTGTAACGTTACTAAATAATTTTGCGACAGCATTAACTGTTTGAAGAACTAATCAAGAATTATTATAAATCAATTAAAAAAATCGTTGATAAAAATTAAAAAAACTTTTATGGTTTATAAAATTAATTTATCTATTGCAGAATATTCAAGATATATAATGTCTTTCCGTTTTGTACTATTTTTCTAAAATGTATAAATTCTAAAATTTTATTTTTAGGCACAAGTTCTTGGAAAGAACAATTCATGGAAGCCCTGACCGTCAGTAGGGGTGATGAAGATGACGCTGATGGTGAAAACGGTCAACCTTCCTCACCATCTGTAATGGATTATCTTATGCACTCCCTTACTATCTTCTGGAAGGTTCTTTTTGCCTTCGTTCCACCAACAGGTAAGTAAAAAGATCTTTTTATATTAATATTGTCTATCTGTGTATATATAGAATGAACCACTTTAATGTACACTTTAATTTTTTTTTCGTTTTGTTAAATTTGGAACATTTTTTATCATCGTTTTTTTAAATTTTGAATAAAAGTGTTTTAATTTCAAATTTCATAGCAATATTAAAGTGATTTCACTAATCAATTCAATAATTTAAAAAAAGCAATATTGTTAGGTGGATAAAATTGAATTTATTAAATTACATTTAAAAAAAAGTGTTCGTACAGGACGTTTCGGACTTTACTTAGTCCTCTTCAGCTGTAATGGAATGAAAATGAAAATTCTTAGCGCATGGACAAATATAACATAACGGTAGATGTTACAAACTCTCTCTTATATCATATGGAAGACTTCTTTTTTTGGTTGAACTATAATTTGTGTGATCCGTTTGGTTCAAATTTTACCCTTTTATAAAACACGTTTTATACAAGATGTCAATGTTGACGAAATTTTGTAAAATAAATATATAATATTTTTATATCATATAATAATATTTTTTTAATGCTTTGACTGTTTGCATAAACATTTTATGTACAAAAATATTGTGATAAGTAATCGGTGGTTTATAAGACGTTTTATATTTTGTTACGACTAATTTCGATATGAAATAGAACCGAGGGGGTAATCATTAATGTAATCGTGGGACAGAGTCTTTGAAATCATTATAAAATTCATATGAAATCTCTACGTATAATCCGATAATTACATATGCAACCACGAGAAATCATTATATAATATTAAAATTAATTAAATAAAATCGTATATTTTATCAAATTACTTCATATATAGTAAAAAAAATTATTTGTAATCAGATGAAATCATATAAAATCATGTGATCTGCGGGACAGTATTTCAGCTAGTGATTACTCCCTCGAATAGAACCTATAATAATTTATTTATTGTTTGTGTATTATGTGTTAAGTACATTTTTTTCTCAGAAATTGATTATATTATTTATGTGTACAGAATCGTACAAAAAACCTCTTATCGATGATTCTTATGGCAAAATTGCGATAAAAATATTTGTTAAACGATTTTACAAATTGGATTAGTTTCGTTAACATTCAAAAAGATGTTTTCAGTACCTTTAAAATAATATATACATTGTTGTGAATATTAATACTGTGATTTCAATCTTATATGAAAACGTTTATAGATACGAAATTGCCATCAGCTAACGTGATGAAAAGTAAAGCGAATTTCGATCGAAATGTTTATGATGGTGCAATCTGCAAAACGGAAAACGGTACACCTAAACTCCCTCTCACGGGATAATATTTTTTAATATTCACGCGGATATGAGAAGATTAATTACAAATTGATTTATATAATGCGATGTTTTACAAAAAATAACTGTGAGATTTTAAAACTATTGCAAATTATTCAATAATCCATCTTAACAGTTTGAAGAACACGAAGATATAGATATTTATTATCTTTGTACAAAGCAACTGAAGAAGTTCAGCTTCCTGTAACCAAACACTTTGATTACAGGACTTTGTAAAAAGTTTGAAGAAAATTGATTCTTTTTGTTTGTGTAATTTTATGTTTTAAATTTTTCACGGATTGTCTTCGTCTTTTTATTTTTGTTATTTCTTCGATTCTATTTTAACCTATTCCTGTATTTTTTGAAATGTGGGAGAGCTTTTCTGCATTCTTTAGTCATGGCTCTACTTCCATCCAGGTGGAAGAAAACGAGGAAAGACGGTAAGAGGAGGATAAAGGGAAAGGAGAAGACGTGCTTTATTTCAGCAATCACAATCGCAAAGACCTGCTGAACTCTGCAAAAGCTCTGGAAACTACTGTATCGAGCAACGTAATTTCACCTTGTTTATCTTTCTCTTCTTTTTTACCCGTCATCCTTGTAGATCAGCGCTTCTATGCAGAAGCACAAGATGCAGAATTGTATTTACTCTCGCTTCACCTTTTATAAGGAAAAAAAAAAGCTTAATTTCCGGACAGAGCCGGAAATTATCGGAGTGATCGAGGAATTTCTTTGTGTGTGTTGGTATCAAAAACAAATCCTTTTTATTAGAATATAATAAATAGACGTTCCAGAGGTATATAAAACATTTTGCTATTACGATTGCAATACTTTCCAGATAAGCCGAAATTTATAGTTATGTAACTGCAGATTATGCAACTGTAATATGCGGTTGCAACGGTATGAGCGAGATTTATGAACACATCGCATTACTAAATGCAATATTCCGCAGTGAGACATGTTGCTGGAAAAGCTGGCAAAATCTGAAGATGATAGTTGAATTCCCAAGAACTTAATTTGCAAGTTATGTATACATAAAACGCAGAGATATGCATAATATCTTGGTTTAACGGTTTTTTTAAAGATGTTCGAAAATCCTCTATGGACATGTACGTATATTACACAGGCAAATACGCGCGCATATACAAACGAATAGATAAAGAACCCTCTATACATACGGCTTATACATTCTTCTCTGCTCTCTCATGAAATTTCCACGAAATTTCTATGTGATTTATGGTGACCTGTGCTTCTATATTCTTCCAAAGTAAATTTGGTTCGGAATTTATGGCAAAGTAACGAGATATCAAATAAAATGTCCTTAATAAGAATTGGAAGTAAATTAGTAAAAATCTTCTTTAAAAAATTGTTTTGTACTGTCGATACAATATATTTTGTTTTATATTAGAAAAATTCCTAAAAAGAAAATATAAAAAATTAATAAGTAGAATTTTTTAATAAAATTTTTCTTTATATATTTGATTTAATTAAATACGTTTTGTTTAAAGATTGGTTCTATGCCCTTTTTAATTGTCATATTTTTCTTTATAGTTTAATTAGAAATAATAGTGTATTATATTGTAGAATTACAATATATATATATATATAATATATATATGCACTTTATTTTTTTACTTTCAGATTTTTTATTTAATATTGTCAGCCGAGTTTTTATTCGATCTCGAGAGAATTTCCGAGCTTACTCGATTTTCCGATAATTACATAATGTAATCAATAAGAGCGAGTTGCTTGAAAAAGACCACGAAATACTTTGTGTACTTTAGTAAATACGTTGTATACTTTAATAAATCAGTCAAGTTTAGTACAAGAGTAGTATAGCAAGCGTAATGCAATAATATACATCGGCCACGTGTTAATAGTAAAACTAACCGCGTTTACAGACTCTTTAGCTGTATTAACACCCACGTTCCATCGTAAACGTATCTTCGTATACAGATTTCTAATAATAATTCCCTTTTGTTGTCACATACATGCGTTCGCGCAAAGAGAGAGAGAGAGAGAGAGAGAGAGAGAGAGAGAGCATTTTACTTGCGGCATGAACGCGTCAGCCTTGCGGCTCTCAAAGAATTTCAACTGTCTTGATAATAATTCCATAGAAAGCGTTCCGCGAGTTTCACATCAATTGCGAATATCTCGGACCGTTTGGAGAACATTAGGGACTGATAATAATATCCGTTATGTGCCGCTTCAAGGACTTTTGTCACATGATTTTGAGATGTGATTACAATTCTAAAATGATACTTATACATACAAATGTGAGAAGATGTTTGCTTTTCAAGTATATTGTGATAAAGATATATTATTTGATAAAGGAAAGTTCTTCCCAATTTTCATAATAATTGTATGTACGGGATCGAGAAAATCCACATACAGTATACGAGAAAAAACCTTTCAATATCAGTATTAATGTAACGCGTGGAGTGAAATGTAACAAGAAGGAAATGGAAAGAGAGAAAAAAATATATTTAGATGTAACGAAAATGAAAATAGAAAACGTAAAAAGAAACTAAAAGTATGTAGTTTGAAAAGGGAACTGTACGAGGTAAAGAAGCTGTTATGAAAAAGTAGTTTAGTAGAATTAGCGTTTCAAGACCGAAAAATTATTTCGGCGCGCGTTTCTAGGGACTACATATTTACGTAGTATATAAATTCACACAAGAATCATACAAGATCCAGCTAGACCGTTTAAGGTTTTGATTTCTATAGTTTATTATCACACACACGCAACGCACACACACACACATATATACGGTCCTATAATATATTATATTGTTTATTATGAAAAAGATTACCGCACCGTTAAATTATATATATATATATAGACTTATTACACAAGAAATTATAATACTTATTACACAAGGAATTATTAGACCTATTACACAAGAATTATAATATAAGACTCGTAAAGACGTTTTCCCTCACTAATCTTGAAAACAGAATCTTGGTTTCATTATTAGTATACTTTCCGATTGGCAAGTTTTAGAGAGAAAATATTTGCAAAATTTCAAGTAAGAAGAAACAGACTCATTTATATAAAGACAATAGTTTTTAGTAAAATTACAATTATTTTAATTTTTGCAAAATAAATCTATACAGAGTTAAATTGATTATACATTTTTATTTCGTTTTTAGACGTCCTACAATCTGACATGTGTTGAACGCAATGCACTCGCTTATAAAAAATAAAAAGAATACAAATGATCCCTGAGAGAATTGTTAGGAACGGTATATATAATGTAAAAGTTGTATTTTTAAACAAACAGCTTATGTTTAAACAGCTTTTGTAAAACTATATATGAAAATATGTTCAAAATTTATGTATGTGATACGTATATTGCAAAAAAGATTTATATGATTTTTATAAAGTCTTCTTCTTGTATTTTAATATAACATTAATTTAAATTAATAAAACCACGTACTAAAATAATGTATACTGTAAATTTCTGAGTAAAAATTATATAAAAATTATATACTTAAAAAATTATCATACAAAGTTTTAATAGAAATTTTTGTCCACTTATCACAATTTTAAACTAATTTCTATAAGTGATTTTATTTATCGGAAATAGCCAATTACGGTAAAATAGCGCTTTTAACGTTACGAGCTTCGTGATTTGTAAAAGCCAAGCAGAATTGAGCTGAGGCAGCATAATTAGTCCCGAGAGTAAGCGTAAATGAGGAAAAATTGTGGACTTTTAACTAGACTAATTAAGCTCTCAAACGAGTGGTTACGTGGTAGTGCATGTTTGCGTGAGCGAAGAGAGCGTCACTTTATAATTTGCATTTTGTTCATCCCGCATATCGCGCAAAGTGATTAAAGTTCTTTGGTACTGTTATCCAATGTTTTTTCTATTAAACCCCAAAAACATCGTCGGTTTCACTTCCATTATTAAAACGAAGGACAGCGATTTTAACATTAATTTTTCAGTTTAATTAATTTTTTATAATCTCTTTTATTCAATATGGATTTTACATACAAGGCGACAACAAATTTTTCACATTTGTATGTAGAAACAACGATAAATAACGCCAACTTGCTATCTGAATAGTAATATATAGTATTAGTAAGATATAATATATAAAAAAAAAACTAACTCTGGAATGTGTTAGTTATATCTTATTAAATAACAAAAAAGTTCTGCTAAAAAAATTTTCGGCTGATGAATTGAAGACATATCTCTTGCCTACCTAAAAGAATTTATCCGTGGAAAAATGACCATCGTGAATGCATTCTCATAGCGTCTTAAAGTTTATATCAAAGCTAAAGGTGACCATTTTAAATGTTAATTATTATTTTTTGGTATTTAATAAGAGATAATGAACACTTCAAAGAAAAAGAGAGAAAAAGTTGTTTCTTATAAATATACGTTACTAATGTTTGATAAACACAAAACTTTTTGGCCAAACTTTTTTTTATCACCGTGTGTATATTTTTCTACTTCTTCTATTTTATATACAAAGAAATATGCGCGTAAACAATATTTATATTATTTAACAATCCAGTTCTGAAATTCTCTGTATTTTGCTTTCGCAAAACGTATGGGAAACATTTTTTTTATTTCAGATATCGCCGGCGGTTATTTGTGCTTTATCGTCAGCATTCTGGGGATTGGCGTGGTCACGGCGATAATCGGCGACGTTGCCTCGTATTTTGGTTGTACTTTGGGCATCAAGGATTCTGTCACCGCGATTGTTTTCGTCGCCCTCGGTACCAGCATTCCCGGTAAGTGTCTAAAAACTGAGGATGATATACGAAGAAAAGGAGCGACATCGAGAAAGATCGTACCTGCACTGGAAAAAGTCTTGTTGCACTAATTGGAATTCTGACAGATTCAATCAGAAAGATATAGGGTAACTCCGGTATATACGCCGCACCTATCAAAAACTTAATTTATTAAGTATTATTTACTATGTTTAAAATAAACGAACTATATCAGTAAAAACTTTGTACTCTCTACTACTATGAAAAAAATATTAGAAATCCGAAATATTTAGTTTTCGTATTAAAAAATAAACTTTTTGAAATCTTGCATTTTTGTTATATATAGATAATGGGTGGGATATATGGTAAAAATGCAAGGGTTTCAACAAACTAAACAAAGAGGAGAATACGAAAGCAAAGTACTTGTAATTTACTCTATACAACATGCTTTACTATTCCTCTACACGTATGTATCACGAAATAACCACTAGGTTTTTTGCACGCCTTACAGTAATCATTTTATGTAGATTATAATTTATGATGATGCTACTTGCTACACACACAGTGACAAATCGATTCAACTCACAATAATTTCATTAATATTAACAGTAAGAAGCTGAAATTATAACTCAATACTAATTTAACATAAGCATGTAACAGAGTAGTTGCGAGAAAATTACCCCTACTCCTTCTATATACCGTATATACCGGAGTTACCCTACTGAAAAAGAATTTAATTAAATCTTATTGCATATTTCTTCGAATAGTAGAACTAACTAAACATTTAGTAAATAAATATTTATCCGAATTAAAAAATGATAATCAGTCAAATTAATCTTGTGTCAAATAAATATGTTTACACTTAGTAAATATTTATTTGGAATTTCAAACAAATATTTTTGTAAATTTAATATTTTTTTTTAGTGTACAAATTAAACACTTATTATTAAATCTATTATATATGCTAGTCGAGAAGTTTAATTACGATGATTTATATGATCAGAATTTGTTTGTACAATTAGAACATTTTTCTCAATATATTATTAAAAAAAGCGATCAACATATCTCCCACATTAGTTTACCTTCGCATTTCACATTTCGCATTGATCGCATTCCACTTATGACATCTGCTGTTTTATAACAGGGCAATAATTTATTGCCCTTGGTCTTTGTGCCTGGGAATAATGGCTGCCGTTGGCCTATGTTCTTTCGGGTGGAACGGTTAACACGTGCAACCATAAAAGAGTTAAATACACTTTCTTCGTTCATGTAGCATCAGAAGGTTGCAGCACTGCTATAAAATTTCATTGTAAAATTGTAATATTATATACGTCGCGTAAAAAATATTACTACATCGTAAAATTGTAGCAAAATTAAAGGGTTCGCCTTTAGAAGACTTACACTGCTCTCTCTCTCTGTGACAATGTTGTGGTGAAATATATTTACTATGTTAAGGGATTACGTACATTCAAGAGGCCAAAAAATATAGCAATCTTTTCTGCCTTTTCTCCAGAAATGCAGAGAATTAAAGTCGATGTACGTGGAAGAAAATAATAATATTTTACTAAACTTTATTTCTTATTTTACAAGCCTCCAATATTGCTGTAACCGTGTTGGAATTTTTTATTTGTTTATTTCTACAAAATTTTTTCGCATTCAACGTGACATTGCAATTTACAAGATTACATCTCATTACATTCTAATCAGAATGTTCTACATTGGATTTTTTCAAACACTTTACAGATTCCCAAATATTTTATATTTTTTAAATTTAAAGTCGAAAAAAAAAACAAAAAGAGGAAGAGAGAGAGAGAGAGAGAGAGAGAGAGAACTTTATGAAAAATGTATATAGTCATATTTACAGAAATCATTTACATTAACAAATCTTCAGAAACAATTATGACCTGACCTTTGTCTTCTATTTTTATACGAAATTCACGACGAGGGCATTTAATAAATCATTTGAGTGGGTGTTATCAAAAGCTATTAAAAGCGTAACGACATTTCAAGTCGCGTCATTTCAAGTTTCTGGGTCAATAGGTTACGTTCAAAATTTACATCTAAAACAGAGGCTCGAAATTGATTATCCTAAATGTGTCTCTAACATCTTAATGTTCAGTGAACGTATAACTACTGCATTTTAATGTCCACAGGGAACTACGTGTAGTAACCTTACCTTCTATCTGTAGTAATTTTAATTATTAATTTAACTTTCACAGTAAAGGTGTCTCTTTCTCTTTTTAAATTACATCAGAGAATACGAATTCTGAAATTATGTTTATTCCAAAAATGTCTACCAAGTGCCTACATCGGCTGAATATCGACGCGATTTGCATGATGCACAGCTTCTCGGCTGGATTACTTAGGCCACTGTGCTTCTTCTCTCTTAGAAACTTTACAAGAAACTTTCTTCTCTCCCAGAACCTCATCAATATTTATGCCGAAGGGTACCTCCGATCTCCCAAAGTACCGCTTATCGAGATCGGTTTGACGATCTTCTTCTTGTATTACCGGCAAAAAATCGAAAGATGGGATTTATTTAGAGTACAGAGTGCCTCAGAATTACCTACAACATGATGTCAAAAATTATGTTGCATTAAATCACAAGTAGCAAATAGCGAAGCAAACCGCATATCTATATAGAATCTTATAGATTTTTAAATATTTAATTAATCTTCATATTTATTAATATAATATAATTTTATACACCTTTAAAAATTTATTTATTTTTACTTTATGTTAGTACTGAAGAATATTTTAGATCTCTTTCTAATGCTATTGAATATGAAATTTATGCACTGAGAAAAATTTCCGGGCTTTATCCGTTCAAAAAGTAACAAACAGATATTTCCGATTGATTTTGATTGGATTTAGTCCGGATCTACAATAGAGTTTTAAGCCTTAAGCCATAAGAAATGGGCGAATCACAGTCGTTTATTCTTCTCGGATTCGACTGTAATTGGTCAATTTCTTACGGCTTAAGGCTTAAAACACCTATTGTAGATCTGGGGTTATAAGACTATCCGATCAAATTTTAGGACTATCCGATCAAAATCAATCGGAAATATCTGTTTGTTACTTTTTGAACGGACATTTTTCTCAGTGTGGATAATCAATTATCCAATTGCACGAATATGCATACACTTGTCGATTATTGCTTCGAATATTGTTTTGTTTTAATTTTATTAATTGACCTTTGTTAAGTTTATAATTATTGATTAATAATTAATCGTACACACATCGTAATACAGATTAATTGTCAAAACAAACATTGAGATAATTATTTGCCGGCTTACGCTAATACAAGACAAAGTTAACTATCATTCACGGTGGATGAATTGCTGAGCGTTACTGCTGCAGTAGTAATGTAATATCAAAGATATACACTGACAATATAAGCTCAACGTAAACAATCCTTCTTGCTAATTCGACTAATTAATTATTGCATTGTTGATATATACAAAAGCAAATACAGTAATATAGCAGCAGCGCAAAGTAAACAGAAAATTTGATTTAATTATAATTTTTTTATTGAGTAAATATTTATTTGCTGTAAGTAAATATTTATTTACTGTAAGTAAATATTTATTTAGTACTATTCAAAGAAATTGTTAAGAGTTAATAAATTTTGTTTCCAATGTAAATAAGAATCCCTCTTAAATATCCTTATCGTTAATTTAATATAAAAATATTAGAAAATAAAAACAACTTGCTTCGAACAATTTTTTAGATTAAATTTTCGTCCACATCTGTGCACTGAGAAAAATAGTCTGGTTGGATTAAACAGTAACTCTGGTGGAAAATGGACGAATCAGAATTTTCTGGTTATGTCTATTAGAATTCTAGTTGAGATAACTAGAATTCTGATTAATATAATTATTCTGGTAAAAATAAGAATTCTAGTAGATTTTACTAGAAATATAGTATCAACCAGAATTCCGGTTATCTCAACTAGAATTCTAATAAATTTAACCAGAAATTTCTGATTCGTCCATTTTCAACCAGAAATTATTTTCAGTGTGCCGATATATATTATATAATTTTGGAAATCGTCATATTTACGGCACGCGAATTTGGAGCGCACGTTTTATCAAATTTGTTATTGAATATATAGGTACGTTTCACATATGTGCTCTGTTATTACAGGATTTTCTTGCCCTGTGCAACAACGAGCGCTCACTCCGCTCACAACTCCGTAACCGAACTTACACTGCCATAAACTGCAAACTGGTACAAGCCGCATATTCCAAGCCGTTACCACAAATCCTGCGGCACAACGGTTTTAAGTGCGGTTGACGATCTTTGATTCTCCTGACAGAATGTGTACTAAAAAGCCACTTTGTTACTCGCGCGGGTCATACACGTGGTGCCGTGGCGCGAAATACGGGCTTTATCTCGCATTACGCCGCGAATGAAGCGTTAAACTTGCGGATAAATAAAAAGCAATATCGGTTAAATTACAACCTTGGGCTCGTTAACCTTGAACTCAGTAAAGAAATGTATTTTTAAGAACGAATTAAATAACGCGAACGCAACACTTTGAGATCGTTAAAAATTTATTTACTTATTTATTTTTATATCTAGGAAACATTATAAAACGCGATGACATGTTTAAATTTTTTTTTACCTCCCACGTAAAATATTTATCACTGATGCATATTTCTATATATACCGAGCCTAAGAAAAGATATTCGAACTTTTTCATAAAAGAGGAGAGAAGTACGTGATATAAAATTTGCAGTGTATTATTTTTCAAAATATATAAATAGAGTATATATAGATTTCCAGTGTTCAAGAATAATAAGAATAGGAATATTGGGAATCAATGCGGTAATTCGTGCGCAAATCTTTCAACAAATTTAATAATGACGTCATTTTTACAGAGATTAAGGACTTTATTACTTTAAAGTCAACGGAAGGATGCGAATAATATAAAGTCCCACATTTACTTTTTCACGAAAAATCACTTTTCTTTCAATTGCACTACTAATTAGGAAATAATTTAATTATTTCCTAATTATTTAATTATTAATCATTTCATAAAAGTAAGCATAAATTAATTGTAAAAAATTATAACGTAAGAAAAAATAAATTTATCTTTACTAAAAAAACCTTCAAAATATTTTAAATAACTTACAATATGGTATATTACATATGTCAAGTACTCAACAAGATGTACCTATTTCTAAATGAAGCCTTTAAATGAGGTCTTTTAAATATCTTTAAGACGCGTATGTCGAAAAGACGTGTTTATGTCTTTTAGACATACCTGTTGTCTAGTATATTATGATAATTGTAACGTTCAAACATAACAATGGTCCAATAAATCATGTCATTGTTATTCGGGCATTAACAGCTCCGTGCACTCGTCAAAGTAACTAAGACTCCGAATTATTTCAGACACGTTCGCGAGCAAAGTGGCCGCTTGCCAGGACAAGTATGCCGATGCGAGTGTGGGCAATGTGACTGGAAGTAACGCGGTAAACGTCTTCCTGGGAATCGGCGTCGCGTGGAGTATCGCCGCCATTTACCGTGCTTGCCACAGCGAACCGTTCCTTGTCGAACCTGGCAAGTAAGTAGTGAAAAGCAATTACGGACATCCGGTATGCACAAAAATAATGCATAATTTAGTAAACAGTCTTGCATGAATTCAAATGGTGATTTTCAAAAATATGATAATTACCATTTAAAACATATTTTTCTCAAAACAACTTCTAATACAGTAGATAATAAACAATTATTTTTCATTTTGTATATATATTACATTATTTATTATTTATATTATATTGTTATTATTTATATAATATTTATACAATATTGTTCTTGTTTATACAATATTTTTTTATATGTCTAATGTTTTTTATTAAATATACCTCATGATTTATTTTGTACATTATGCTGGTAAATTTACTTCAGCATTTCTGGAGGTACCATTGAACATTTATTTCTCGTAATTTCTGTTACCTCGTAATAAAAATATATATTTACGAATGTGTGTACGCGCACGTGTTTATATCAGTTAGCAACAAAATTGGTTTTCGATAATTCACGAGCGCGTTTTCACGCTAGCTCAAAATCGTGCGAATGGTATCCCGGATATACCTGCACGATAACACGAGATTACACGTTAGATTAAGTAAAGCGTGGCCTCGATAACACAGCATCATTCTTCATTTACGATCACGTTCGTGAAACTATTTCTAAGATATTCGGTTGAAGCACGATGACAACAACTTGGCCAACATCGCTCTCTCGACGATGACATTTAACACGACTGCCATTGTTCTGCGCTATGAAATTGTGAAATTTCGAAGAAAGTACCCGAGAAATTGGCCATTTATCTACATCAATAGACACTCGACGTAATATTGAAGCGAAATCAGAACTCGGAGAGTTCGTATAATACTATTAGTACGAAGAAAATGACTATTTCTTTATTTTTTTCAAACATTTCGTACGTTGCATTTGTCGTGCAAAATAATGGTGTTAAAATACGAGGAAACTGTTAAAGAGCCTTTGTGATGTACAATTTTTTACTCTACTACGCTACACTGCATTCTATTTCACGAGGATTTCGACGGATTGCCAACCGCGAAATGGAGCATTGTATCTGGACTCGTATCGGATGATGCTGGATGTTCCCTAGCAAGAACACGCTACAGTAGACTTTGTGTTTCATTGTGCACGATACTTGTTGGAACGATTTGAAACTGTAGACTTAGTTTCTGAGAGGACATTATAAACTTACAATTACTCGGAGAGAGATTTTAGTTCTCTCTTTTTATTGTAATCGTTTATGTAATATTAATAATATATACTACTTACTGTTATTATTTATTATGTCATAATAATCTAATAAAGCCATACAGTATAATTGTATAATTTAATTATCAAATTGCAGACTTCTCTATTAAAAATAAGCACGAAAATAGTTATTACATGTTATATATAAAATTTCTTTAAATATTTAGAAACACTGGAACATTTTGCATGCTTGTACTTGGATTTTTACAGTATTGAGCAGTATTTCACAGTTGAAATACACTCCGTGTTTCACACTGTCGTTCGTGTATCTTGCTGAAAAATAGTCTCTTTTACGAAAACCAAATACATGAATATACAAGTAACATCTCCAATCGATTACATTGTTGCGTCTAAACAATTTCGTTAAATAATGCGATTTGTTGCGAAATAATTAATTTTTTAAATAGAAGACACCTTTCATTAGGAACATAATTTTATTTTTATCACAAAACACAGAAATGTGTGTTGTTACTACTTGAAAATTTTATTTATTAAAATTAAGGTGAAACAATGAATTATAGATTTTTATTCTCAGTTTAAAACTGACTTTTAGTATAAGATTATCATGTTTTCCTTAATAACTGATATTTTACTTTACAATAAATTCTAGTCTTCGAAAAGAATGTTACGTTCTCTCGTTTTTTTATATTTCAGAAAATGCATTCTCTTTGTCTTAGAATAAGATTAGATGAGGCAATGTTTCTGCTTGAAGTTAAAATATTACGACGATTTATAAAGAATAATAGATTGTTTAGATTGTGCACGAATGTACACACAGGTGTGTTCTAAAATTATATATTCTTGTAATCTATTGCTATATACGGACACAGGTGGTACCATAATGGCTGCGATAAATTTGCAAGTGCTCAGTCGTTGATTGACTTTCAATGATAGTTTTGACATCGCCAATTGGAATTGGAGATGAATCTGTGGTTGCACCAGAAAAGTTCACTCCATTTTCATGAAGACAGTTTCAAAAGCTTAAATGTTGAATTCTTGAAAGTAAGGACATAGAAAGAAAATATCTTTCGATCTTTTTTCTCTTGCTAAGTTTTTGAAAATTGATAGATTTTTATATAAATTTGATAAATGTAAGTACATCATTTCGAAAGACATTTCGAAGATTTTTTTTATAATGACCAATTGAAATATCAAGAACTTCAATTTTCAAAAATCTCTGCCTTCCATGATAAATTACAAATTAACAAAAAACTAATAAGTTTTTACAGACTCCTTTAATTAAAACAATTAATAAAACCATAAAATATGTATTATACGGCAATAGGAGTCGACGCTGGTTATCACAATTAGCGCAATTTTTCTTAATACTAAAAATATAAACCTTAACTTTGAACGTTTCCATTCACGGTTTGAGTTTTCATCAGCAATCTTTTACCCTAGCGCAACGATTGGAGTATTGCATGACAAAATGATATCCCCAACGTTTTTCCTCTGCCTTTAAATAATATTGTTTTAAAAATATGAGAGACAAAGATTTAAATAATTTCTTGATGAAAAAGAATTCAATGTTTAACCTTTCGAAGCTAAAATTTTACTATAATATAATTTTATCTATAATATAGTTGACGCCGAGATCCATTTGATTTATTTTGAATAAATGGAACTACATATTTTTTTAATTTCAAGGAACCAAAATGACATACAACGTATAATAAAGAATGTGCGTGCGTGTGTTAAGTTTATTTTAATAATAATTTATTATTAAAATAATATTTTGATAATAAATAAATTTATTTATTTTAATAATGAATTTTGAGATAATAATAATAATTCAAATTAACAGCTGTAACATGAAAAATGTAATTAAGTGAGTCCAATAGACGTGCGTATGTGTGTTAAGTTTATTTTAATAATAATTTATTATTAAAATAATATTTTGATAATAAATAAATTTATTTCTTTTAATAATAAATGAATTTTAAGATAATAATAATAATTCAAATTAACAGCTGTAACATGAAAGATGTAATTAAGTGAGTCCAATAGACGCACATCGTCAGCTCCCGAGAGCTAATTTCATAGTCGGTTGCTTGCTCGCGTCTCTATGCAAAAATCGCAGATGCAACTTTGCTGTTGCTTCCTACATTGCACATGCAACTATATCTGAATGACTTTCTTTTATGACGCAGTTTGGCCTTCTCCGTCACCTTGTTCTGTAGCGAGGCTTGCTTCGTGATCGTGGTACTGTTGGTGAGACGAGTCAAGTCGATCGGCGGTGAATTGGGCGGACCTTTTATACCGAAGCTCATCACGTCCGTGTTCCTGTTCTCCCTTTGGCTGCTCTACCTCATCATGTCCACCCTTGAGGCCTACGGCGTGATCCAGGGTTTTTAAACCAAGGCCAATGCGACGCCATGTCGGCCTATCCACTGCGTATATCTTAGCTCTGGCGTCCGCCAAGGCACGTGCTCAACGAAACTATTAACCGGTGAATACGAAAAGAAATCTCTTATTCTTTCAATTATAATTTAATTATTTGTCATGTATCTAATATGCATCAAAATTATTAAGTAGTGCAGTGCAAATAATTTATATATTTACAGTATTGGTCCGACCTTTCATCCATCTGTAAGATTTCTTAGAAACGGCTTAATTTTTTCTGCTTTTAACAATAGATAAGTACTCAGACTTTAGTTCCACTGAAGCAAAATATAAGTCAAATCAGACCGTAATTTTTTTTTAACGAGGAGGAAGGTCAACCCAAACAACACAAAGTCCAAAATTATGACATAAGACGTATTTAAGTCGTCTTTTAGACGCATAAAACGTCTTATAACCCGATTTCAGATACTTTTTATCTGGGAAGATTAATGAGATTTTCAGTATCATAAAAAGAAGCTCAAAATGCTGATTTTAAAAGGTACAATGTACTATATATTACAACATTTTTAACGAAGCTATTTCAATAGTTACAAGTTTTTCGCTGTACTACTTACAATTAGTTACTTCCGTTGCAGAATGTTTTATTATGTTGTTTTTAATAATTAAAAAATAGAAACCACGTTATTATACATATCATATATATGTATACAGGGTGTTTGGAAAATAATGATAAATCTTTCGCATAGGGATAGAATGGACTAAACTGAGAAGAAAAGTCCTGTACCATTTTGCAATTTTTGCAATAGTTAACAAGATAATTGTTAAATATTGCCGAAAATTGGCCTTCAATAATTTTTTACTCAAGTACTGTCAACTTTACAGAAAAACTGCAAGAGACGAAAATTGTTTATTTTTTTCTCATAGAACACTGCGAATGTTTTTCAGAATTTTTTATTAACATTTTAATACTGCATTTTCTCATTTTTATCAACTGAGAAAATACGGTATTAAAAAATTTTGAAAAAATTCTAAAAAAATTCTTAGAGTTTTATGAGAAAAAATAAACAATTTTTGTCTCTTGCAGTTTTTCTGTAAAGTTGATAGTATTTGAGTAAAAAATCATTGAAGGTCAATTTTCGGTAATTTTTAGCAATTAGTATCTTATTAACTATTGCGAAAATTGCAAAATGGTAGAGGACTTCTCTTCTCAGTTTAGTACATTCTGCCCCTATGTGAAAAATTTATCATTATTTTCCAAACATCCTGTATATACATATATATATGTATATGTAATGATATTCCTCTCTTATATGAATCTATTACATAAATAATACAACTAAATTGATTATTAATAATAATAATCTATTAATTCATAATATTAATATTCTGCGGACTTATTATGGAAACGTCTCTAGCTAAGATGGAATATAATAAATGATTGCCGTTACACAGATAACTTTTCATGTCCAATTTTTATGATATCACTATTGACACATTCAAATCAGTTCAAAATCAAAATCAATTCGTAGATATTTTGAAAATAAAAAATATGCTTATATTGCTATTTCACGACTTAAATATTTCATTTAATACATAAAATAATTCAACATGTATATAAAATACACGACAATATTTTTTATATCGATATTTTATTAATTTACAATGCCTACTAATAAAGTTATGTTAGGATATGCTTATATAAAATTAGGAAGTCATAACGATATCAGCTGTTACCATAAACGTAAAAATAAGGTCTAATTCAATTATATTTTCATTATGATAAGAGAGATCAGCAATTACGTTTCTTTATTGTTTTATGACTAATCGGTCGTCTTTTACGATGGAACTATGTGAATACTGCCAGAGCATTAGCAAAACTTTATAGAAAACAGAAGCAATGAAAGAGCAATTAGGTGATTAAATGGAACGTTTCGTTTATGGAAAAAAATTAGTTAACCTTCTAATAAAGGTGCAAAACATTCTGTGCTTATGCAATATTTGAGCCATCCCCGGGAGAACAAGAGAATCAAAATAATGTCAATTTAACGTCATATTAACAAATTTATATCATTTTTTAGTCATGATAAAAATCTCGATATCAGATGATCTAAGAATGACTTTATATATAAAGTAAATTCGTCAATATGACGTCAAATTGACATTATTTTGATTTGTTTGTTCTCCTTGGGATTATATCTTCTATTTCTATATACTGAAAGAAAAAAATAATAATCATAATTATCAAATACTTTTCTTCCAGTGTATATTTAATAATTATTCCTAATTCATTATCTTAATTATATCTTAATCTGAATGAATTTTCTTTGCACTTTTTTCTGATGTAACATAATATAATTAAAAAAATTTTTCTCAGCCTTGTGAACTGTTATATTTTTTAAACGGTTCTCGATTTTGATTACAGAACACAGAAGCGGTCTCGGGACAATACGATTTCGCGAAGAACAAACTTTAATTGTGCCGGAAACTCACATAAGTTCATCCTCTGAGACGATTAACAACGAACATGTCGCGTGACGTATTAAATGGATATGTGTATGTATATGTATGCATGTATAGGTATCTGAGAACATGGGAGTGCTTGAGAGAGAGAGAGAGAGAGAGAGAGTGTGTGTGTCCAGTAAAGAGAAGAAAGCAAATTGATGGAGAGAAGGACAAGCGACGAAGGGAAAAAAAAAACTAACGATATAAGAAGAGAAGTGCGCGTGAGAGAAAAAAATGTGAGCTTGCCTTAAAATAATTCAAAGGAAGAAAGAAGTAATAAGTGCGTTCTAGTCATGTCATATTCCCCGCAAAAGAAAACATTTGGCTGTTATAAAAAAAAATAAAAAAGAAAAAAGAAAAAAGAAAATGGAGAAGAAAGGCGAAAAAATATAGGTAGTATATATGTCTGATCAGATCGCGGGTACACACATTTGTGTACATATTGTATTTATTTAATTCTAAGAAATACACAAGTTTCTACATGATAATTTAGTAGCGAATTGTATTGCAATTCTTTCTTTTCTGAGTCGGAAAAATTGACGTCGGTAATTTTATATACGCGTACATGTTACTAAATAATACGTTACTTTCATCGAAGGAAATTTGATGTCGGATCGATTGTCGCGAGGATCTCGCAGGGAGGAGAGAAAAGTGCGCAAGCACCTGAGCAGAAACTGAACAACTGTTGGACACGGTTGTGCAATATACCAAATGTCCGTCAGTAACTTTATTCATTGCCATTTTGTAAATTTTTAAATATTTATTTGTGATATTATATGCCAGACGAAATTGTTAGAGTTCACTAGAAATATACGTTTCATCTTAATCTCGTCTCAGCGTACTATATTTTAATATATATTAGATTTACTACGATTTCAACGAAATAGTAAAACGTGCAACGTGCATCCAAAAGTTCGAAGAAAAGAGACAAAACTGCGATCGATTGGATATTGCATGACTGCGTCGAATTTTTGTAATAGAATTGAAGAACATAGTGCATTTTTATCATTGCAATAATTGCATAGCTATGAAATGCGTATGGAGGCCACATACTTGTGAAACTAGTCGAGTTTATTACCCAAGAAACACATCAAGTCAAGAGAAAGTCAAAATAACTTTGTTTTGACGTTACGAAGGTCAAAATGATGAGTTTTGATTACAAAATGTGACTTGTTTATTGACGTTAAAAATTAAAATAAAGTCATTTTGATTTTTTGTTGATTTTCATGTGTTCCTTGGGTATTTTGATGCGACTGATTTTGGTTGCTACTAATGAGGGTTGCCAGAGAGAAATGAATAAACTGATGAACAATTTGATAGCGCGAGTGAATAGGAGTTCGTTCCAAAGTGACGAAATTGCATTTTTAATAAAAGTATTTAGTGAAAAGTTTCTATACGAACACAATGTAGTAGAAACTAATAGCTAATTTAAGTTTCAAGTCGGAGATAAGACGTGGCATTGCTAATAGAATCTAGAATCTTAGGCAATCCCCTGTTGACGATCGATAAAAGTCTCTCAGCGTTTATTGTGAAATACTTATATTTATATTTTTTCGTTAGACTACAATTTTATACGGAAGGCGTGAACTTTTTCTTATTGTTAGTACGAATCAGCATTAGAATAAAGCTTGCGCGACGCGTGCCATTAAAAATTGAATAGATGTATAATTTGTAGAATATTTATAAGCGAATACTAATTATATCGATTTACAATTCGTTTATTATTATAGCTGTTGATCAGACACTTCATTTAATTTCTTCCGTTACAGATCATTGGTTTCTACCAAATGACAGTTTCAATTAAGGTGTGCATAATTAAAGTGCCACACTGTTTATTTAATAACAAAGTAGCAATTAGGATAATCATGTACTAAATCCCATTAGCGGATTCAGAAATTTGTCAAGGGAATGCATCGCAAGCGAAATTTTTTTTAAGGTCAAATATAAAAAGACAAATTATTACTTAATTATAGAATATTAAATTATTACTTAAATGATTGAAAAGGTATAATTTATGAAACGTTTTTTTACTTAAAATAAATACAAAAAGAATAATATAATATAATCTATGTTTTTTATATCGAGGAGTTTCTTAATTTAAAAAATATTTTTAGAACATTAAAATTGCAATTAAGCATTTCAGAAATATTAAAAAAATATTTAACATTTGTTGTGAACATACTTTTTGAACAGTTTTTGTGTTAACATGTCATCGTTAACATTATTATACATAATCTGAAATGTTAGATTTGAGTATTTTAGATACAACAGACAGGATTATTATCATTTTATGAATATATGTTAACGATACTTCAATTTGCTTTGCATCGCATCTTTTATATTAAATTTATACGTGACCGATTTTATTTTTATTTTTACACTGAGAAAGACCCAATCGAAAGGGTTGAAACGTTTGTCAATTTTTCTCAAGAATAAAGTGTACGCGTTCGCACACGCCTAACCTGTGTTGGCTCATATTGGCTGATTTATATCTATATTTGTTATGAATATTTTTAAAAAGAGGGACTCTAAGGGGGAGGGGGTCATGGTCTACATTATTATTAATTTCTTAAGCAAAATAGGAAATAAAGTTTTTGTTACGGATTTTGTTCTTCAGAAACTTGGATAATACGCGAATGTCTAAGGGCCGGTTGTTCTATCTTTTGATAAATTTTACCTGTTGGGTAAGTAGCAAGATTATCCAATCACATGCGCGGATTACCAGATTTATCTCACAAGTAAAATTTATCAAAAGGTGGAACAACAGGCTCTAAGAGATGTAACAAGGAAAGCTCTTAATAAAAGATCAAGTGTGTGTGACGTTTCTAAAATTTTAGACGTTTTTCTCGTTTGCGTGATTTATTTCGCATGAACGCTGTTCGAGAGGGATTTTGAGATCGTCGTCAATCAGAGCAGCACAAATCGTTAGCAGACTTGATAACCGTCTCGCCAACAAGATCGCGTTATTGAATACCAGGAGAAACATATTTACTATTAAGAGTAGTTATAGAAAGTGCGACAAACATTAAATTAGTCTTACCTTCGCGAGTTGTATCGCGGCCTTCGTTCGAATGTAAATTACATTTGCCTTTGAAAATTACAGTGCGAAAAGTCACCTTTTTCTTTATCAATGCATATTCTAATTTCAGAACATTTGAATTTTCGTCCAAATAATTCATTTCGTCCACGATATTTTTTTCTAAACGAAAATTCAAATATTTTGAAATTATAATAAGTTCATATCAGACGCATTGAAGATTAAAGAGATTTGAAATTGAAGATTACAATTTGATCAATCAGATAAATTTAATGTTAATCAGTTTTGTTCTGATTGGTTGAATTCTACACTGAAAAAAATTTGTTAAATTTTAATACATATTTCTTTAAAGAAGATTTAGTAAATTTAAGATTTAGAGTAAATTCTTTTCAGTGTGCTCCAATTCGCAATCTTCAATCTCCAATTTGTAGTTTGGTACACGTTTTAGACGGGGAAGTGCGATTCTTCGCGGTGTGTTATTTTTAAAGAAGAAATGTAAAGTCCTCATCAAGATTGAGATTAACTATTGGCTCACACTGCCTTTGATCGAGGATCGCACTCAACGCGAGGTAACCGGTTATACAACAGTTATGAGGATTATTATCAGGCAGGATTATTATCCCGACATGCGTTTAAACTTTAAACGGAACATTGAAAAAATTTACTAAGTTTTAATAAATATTTGTTTTAATAGCACTAACTAAATATTTATTTACAGTAAATAAATATTTACTCAATTAAAAAAGTGGTACTTAAACTAATGGTTTTTGTATCAATAGATACGTGTTTACATTTAGTAAATATTTAATAGTACTATTCAAACAAATAATAAAATTTATTACATTTTTTTTCAATGAATGACTCCCAATAATATATCGCTTCAAAATCACAAACTGAATTCGGAGTACGAGTCAGCACTAATCTCGTAACTATAACGTTAAATTTTACGTTTATCGTTGTTACGATGAATCTCATATGATTAGAGAGATTTCAAGGTACGTCTGAACAGGCGTTCTTAGCGATGTTCTATGAACATAAGCGTAGGAAAATACCTCATGAGATTGACATGATTTGGATATTATTAGCATTTTATAACCAGCTTTTGTAAACGTGTTAGAGGAGAAGAAATTGTTTCCATTCCCCTACCCTCCCGCCGACGATTCACCACGAATTTATCTGTGATCTTGAGACGAGGATCACGATGACGGAAGTTACATGGCGTGTCGCTTTAAAGGCGACATTACATCTGAACGAAGCTTACGGGCTGCTACGCAGCATTCAGTATGTACAAATTCACTACACCAGTTTGTTCCTACGAGGAGTATCAACTTAACTTAAAGGGACGTATTAATGATCGCTGCTCATAGTATTATAAAAGCGCGAAGATGAGCAATCGAACGAGCGCACCTATCGGATCAACTGCACTAATGGTGATTAGTGTTAATCCTAGTTCTCACAACCTAATTCTGCGTTATAAAATAAAAGCTATAGTAATCGAGAAAGAAATAGAGCGAATTGTTACTTCCGGAACATTCAATGATTATAAGCGTACTTCTGCTCATTTGCTCGCGATAGGATTCTCTTATCCTCTCTATCTCTCTCTTCTTTTATCCTCCTCTCTCCCTTTTATCTCTTTTTCCTTCCACTCTTCTTCTCTCTTTCTCTCTCTCTCTCTCTCTCTCTCTCTCTCTCTCTCTCTCTCTCTTTCTTTCCAATCATATTGGATTATGACATCAAATAAAAGATTATATATTGAATTTTCTTGTGGTACGAAGATATTGCACATAAATTGATATAAGAATGTATTTATTATGGGTGCAATATAAACGTTACAAGAAATATTATATTATTCTCCAAAATTTAAACTATAAGTTTTATTTATTATATTTAATGCGCTATATATTTATTATATTTGTTATGCTTATGTTATTAATATAGGATTTAAATAACATTAATTTATTATGAGAATGCCATTATTTATATTTAACAGATACAACATAACGACTTATGTTTATTATTAAGTAACTACAAGTTAGCTTTGCTTGCAATTTTTTATTTTCAAGGTTTTACTTTATTAAACGCAGAAGGAAAAGGAAGCCATTTATTTCAAGATATAAAACAGATAAAGAATTTATATGGTATCACAATTTATATGGTATTTAAATTATAAGTTATATGATCTTTTGATTATGATATCATAACCCAACATGCCCGCGGGAAACGTCTAATGTTAATCTGTTCGGAAAATGGTATAAAATCTTTTTTTTTCTTTGTATTTCGTTTTTTGTTTAATATGAGATTTCT